TTGCGAGCCCGAAGCCATACACCCTTGCAAATTACGCGTCACTCGCGCATCCGAAGCCATAAACCATCAAAATACAACACCGAATTCAACAATATCATAAGAATTTCAAGTTGTCTCGGCGATTGCTCCTCGTCTTCGCGTGAAGTCCCGACGCTGCTTCACGGCGGCGCCAATGCCTCATAATTTCGCTCTTGCATTGCCCATTCTTCGAGAGAGGGGACCGGCGGCAGGGGGCAAAGCCCTTACGGATATGAGTAATAGTAGTAGTAGTGTCGTAGTAGTAGTAGTAGTAGTAGCAGTAGTAGTAGTAGTAGTGGCAGTAGCACCAGCAGTAGTATCATAATCGGAATTGTCGTGCTAGAAGCAAGTTGTAGAGTAGTAGTTTGAAAATAATGGTAGTAAATCGTCGAAGTAGTAGTAGTAGTAGTAGTAGTAGTAGTAGTAGTAGTAGTAGTAGTAGTAGTGGTAGTGGTAGTGGTAGTGGTCGTAGTAGTAGTAGTAATAATAGTAGTAGTAGTGGTAGTAGTAGTCGTAGCCGTAGTCGTAGTTGCAGTGGTAGCGGCAATCGTAGAAGTAGTAGTACTCGTAGTAGTAGTAGTAGTAGTAGTAGTAGTAGTAGTAGTAGGAGTAGTAATAGTAGTAGTAGTAGTCGTAGTAGCAGTAGTAGTAGTAGTAGTGGTAGTGGTAGTAGTAGTAGTAGTAGTAGTAGTACTAGTAGTAATATTAGGTAGTAGTAGTAGTAGTAGTAGTAATAGTAGTAGTAGTAGGCGTAGCCGTAGCCGTAGTAGTAGTAGTAGTAGTAGTAGTAGTACTCGTGGTAGTAGTAGTAGTAGTAGTAGCAGTAGTAGCAGGAGGAGTAGCAGTAGTAGTAGCAGTAGTACAAGTAGCAGCACAAGTAGTAGTAGTAGTAGTAGTAGTAGTAGTAGTAGTAGTAGTAGTAGTAGTAGTAGTAGTAGTAGTAGTAGTAGTAGTAGTAGTAGTAGTAGTAACAGTAGTAGTAGTAGTAGTAGTAGCAATCGTGGCAGTCGTCGTCGTAGCAGTAGTCGTGGTAGTAGTAATAGTAGTAGTAGTAGTAGTATTAGTAGTAGTAGTAGTAGTGGTAGTAGTAGTAGTAGTAGTAATAGTAGTAGTAGTAGTAGCAGCAGTAGTAGTAGTAACAGCAGCAGCAGCAACAGCAGCAGCAGCAGCAGCAGCAGTAGTAGTAGTAGTAGTAGTAGTCGTAGTAGCAGTAGTAGTAGTAGTAGTAGTAGTAGTAGTAATAGTAGTAGTAGTAGTAGTAGTAGTAGTAGTAGTGCAGTGGTAGTAGTGGTAGTCGTAGGAGTAGTAGTAGTAGTAGTAGTAGTAGTCGTCGTCGTAGTAGTAGTAGTAGTAGTAGTAGTAGTAGTAGTAGTAGTAGTAGTAGTAGAAGTAGTAGCAGTAGCAATAGCCAAGGTAGGGGTAGTGGTAGTGGTAGTGGTCTTCCTCCTCCTCCTCATTCTCCTCCTCCTCCTCCTCCTTATCCTCCTCCTCCCCCTCACCTCCTACACAGCTCCTCCTCCCTCCTCCTCTTCCTCCTCCTCCTCCTCATCCTCCTCCTATACCTCGTGCTGGTGCTCCTGCTGCTGTTGCTCCTCCTCATTCTCCACCCCCTCTATGGGAGACTGCACGCGTTCACGCCTGTAGCCGGTTTCCCGGCGTTGCCGTTACGGGGGGAGCTTCGGAGGGGGGTAACATGCGTTATGTCCGGAATAACTTAAAAGAACAGCCACTATCTCCTATGGCACCCGCCGGAGGATACAGACACACCGGCGCAGTGGGAAGGGACGGGTGCAAGGGGTTGATGTCAGATATTGTCCGAGTGCACCTCGCTTGCCCACAACAACCCACAGCAAATTCCGATGTACCGAGCTGGAGCTAGTGCTCCTACTACAACTGCGCGTCGCTCAAGGCGAACGGAGAGAGAGAGGAAGAGAGAGAGGGAGGGAGAGAGACGGGGAAGAAAGATAGAGAAGAGAACGAGGCATTGGCATGGACGGCTTGCCCCCTCTTGCCAGACGCCAGGGGGCGGCGGGAGCCTAGAATCTAGAAATCTAAACACCCGCATCAGCAGCCCCGCTTCGAGCTGTCCTCACCTGCGAACGAGAGCCAGGATCCCCGGTGAGCACGGGCACACTCTGGGCCTGCTTGTCATCGCTCGGACGTCCAGTCCTTCTGCATTTCTCGGTCTCGCGCGTGTTTCCGTCTGCTCGATGATCCAGGATGCTCCTCCAGGGCCCTCGCCGAGGAAAGAGTGCACACGTCCGAGCGATGCCGGGCCTGGCGGCCGCCATCTGTCGAAGACGCGCGGCGGAACACCCAGGGAGCACCGGCAGCCTCCGGGCCTGGCGGCCGCAGCACGCAGGGTGTGCGAGGCGGGTCGGGAGCCTTGAAATCGAAGCGTCCTTACCCGTCGCGTGGTCGGGCGTCCTCGGGGATCTTCCGACCCGGGTCAATCCAGACCCAGGTCAGCAGGAAACCAAAGAGCTGCAATGCATTACTCACTGCGTGGGGCTCCCCATGTGTGCATCCTTCCTAACAGGTGAGATTGCATGTGGGATATTTAAATGAGAGTCTGGCCATGTGAGCCATGTGTGCATCTCATACTGTAGGGTAGTGCTGTGGTGAACATATGTCCATGACAGTTTTGATACAAACGCGAGTCTACGTGAGCGACTCGGGACACAACGCAAAAGCAGAAAACAAGCAAACCGCTAGAAACGAACGGAGCCGTGAAAGCACCCTTGGCGGCTCCCCTTAGGTAGCTGAAGCCAGCGCCCAGCGTGAGAGATCCTCACAATCTGCTCTCCAAGCGAAGGATATTGAAACAGAAAACAGGCTAACCGCTTGAGACACATCCACAAAACGGCCACGAACGGGACCGTGCCATACCCATTGGCGGCTCCCTTTAGGGGTGCTGAAACCAGCGCCCCGGCTGAGACATCCTCACAATATGTTGTGTGTTGAGTAAGTCAGACAATGAGAAGGTCTGAGTATGAGTAAGTGTGGATATGAGTGAGTCTCGGCATGAGCAAGTCTGAGTATGAGTAGGTCTGAGTATGAGTAGGTCTGAGTATGGCTAAGTTAGTATGATCAGGTCTGAGTATGAGTAAGTCTGTGTATGAGTAAGTCTGTGTATGAGCAAGTTTAGGTATGAGGAGGAGGAGGATGAGGAGGAGAAGAAGAGGAAGGAGGAATAGGAGGCGTCCAAGTAATAACAACAACCCCATCTTAGGATATGAGGAAGGAAGACAACTACAACGCAGGGCTTCGCAAACCCAGGTCAGCCAATATGCTCGGCCACCTCGAGGCCACGAGTGGCTCGCTAACACGGGTCAGCCAGAGGGGACATTCGCAGGATCCTGCAGGATCTGGTGCCCTGGCTGACCCCCGTTTGCACCCTCGTCTCTTGAGCCCCGACGTCCGCGCAGATTCCTAGGACCGGCGCTGGACCACCCTCCCCAGGCGCGCGGCGCGCGCCAGGGGCGGCGCGGGAGGCGCCGCTACGGGGTCCAGCGCCGAGCCGAGAAGTCTGGGCAGAGCCATGAAAATGTATGTCTGTGCATGTTTTTCTTTCTCATTCGTACGTCACGCCCCGTGCTACCACAGCGCGTGTGCGGATTGCCTCTGCCGCGCTGCGACGGAAAACGTGTTTTTCTCCCTCGGCAACCACGAGCCACGAGAGAGGGCCCGGGCCAAGGTCAACAAGCCAGAGGCGCTGCCGATGGGGCCCAGCCTCGCAAGACCACGCCAAGACCAGGACAACATCGGGCCAGGATTAATCGGGGACCTCTGAACTCTGGTAGTTCTGGAGGATGCAGATCGGGCACCGCGGCCGTTTCAGAGCGCTCCACTAGGCTCTGTGGGCGCTCGGGGAAGCTCTGGACGGTATTTTACCCTGAGCTAAGACATGTGATGCTTTGACATGTAAATAACTTGCTATCGCTCGGACGATCATTCCCCATGCACTTTTCGGCATCGTGCGTGGTTTTGTTCTCGCAAGATGATCCGGGATGCTCCTCGATGGTCCTCGCCGAGACAAATGCACACGTCCAAGCGATGCCAAACTAAGGGGCCCCCAGAATTCCCGACCCTTTCCCCAGGGCCGGCTTTCCTTCCCGAAACGTTTTTCGACGGTCCCGTCGCGGGTCCTGGCGAGGGCCCTGGCCGCCGAAAACTGGAAACCGTCTTGGTTTTTCCGCGTCTCGCGCATGGAGGGGGAATCCCAGTCCTGCCCGACCTCGTGTCTCGACTGGCACTCCAAGGCCAGAGTCATCCAGGGGGGGGCGTCAAACAGCGGGGCTAGCGAACCATCGGTCTGAGGCTGGTGCGCGGACGAGGGGAGGGCTCCTTGTTCGGTTCCGTGTGTGCTTCTTGTTGCCAGATGACTCAGGGCGCTCCTCGATGGTCCTCGCCGAGAAGTGGTACACACGCCCGAGCGATGCCAAGCCTCTCGGACGCCCCTGGCAAGGTCGGGGGCTCGCAAGCATGGATTAGCGATCCATGGATGTGGCGCGCGGTCGCCAAATCCAAGGATCGGGGGAGGCGTGTTCCCCAAACTGCAGCCGGTGCCGCTTCGCTCGGCGGCGAAAATCCGGGATTTCTCACGGGAACGGGACCCGTCGCTAATCCACGCCCCCTTGATCCATGTTTGCGATCGCATGATTGTTGCCAGATGATCCAGGGCGCTCCTCGATAGTCCTCGCCGAGAAGACATGTACACGCCCGAGCAATGCTAAGCCTCTCAGGCGCCGCCGACAAGGGCTGGCGGCGCGCAGCAGGGAGGGGTAAGGGGAAGGGGGAAGGCTTCTTAGAAGCAAGGCTGCATCTTAGAAGGCGAGGGCCTGACATCTGTAGACAAGGCCCGCGCATTCTAAGAAGCAGGGGTGCTTCTCAGAAGCCTTCCCCCCTCCCCCCTGCCCCCCCTCTGCTGCGCGGCCGAACATGATGGGGGTCGGCCGCCCCGCCGCCGAGCAGCGGCACGCCTGCAGGCGCCCCGCGGCGGCCCGACGCCCACGCCATGACTCAGCCCTGCGGGCGGGGCCCTCCCGCGCAGGCTCGCTCCGCGCCCCAACCCCCCCTCTTCCGGGAGGCGGCGTTGTTTCCTCGACGAGGAGGAGGCCGAGGAGGAGGAGGAGGAGGAGGAGGAGGAGGAAGAGGAGAAGCAAAGGAGGAAGAGGAGGAGGAGGAGGAGGGAGGAGGAGGAGGAGGAGGAGGAGGAGGAGGAGATCTTGTGCTTAGGTCGGATCAGCGTAAAAAAGAGGCGGAGGAGAAGGAGGAGGAGGAGGCGAAGGAGGAGGAGGAGGAGGAAAAGGAGGAGGAGCAGAAGGAGGAGGATGACGAGGAGGACAAGGAGGATGAGGAGGATGAGGAGGAGGACGACGAGGAGGAGGATGAGGATGAGGATGAGGATGAGGATGAGGATGAGGATGAGGATGAGGAGGAGGAGGAGGAGGAGGAGGAGGAGGAGGAGGAGGAGGAGGAGGAGGAGGAAGGAAAAGGAGGAGGAGGCGGCGGAGCTGGCGGAGGCGGCGGAGTTGGCGGCGGCGGCCAGCGGCCGAAGGGGCCCTTCCCGGCTTCACTGCCCCACTTCCTCTCCCCCCCCTCTCCTCCCCCTCCCCCTCACCCCGCAGGGGGCAATGCGGATCGAGCAAAGATCGGGGAGGGCCTGGAATCCTCGCTTCGGTTCGGCGCGTTCCGTCCGCCCTCCCGCGGGGGTGTCCCACCGTGCTGTACTGAACTTGTGCTCTTGGTGCCCGTGCAGATGTCTCAGTTTGTTCGCTCAGCCAGCTTGCCTGACTGTATCTTGAAGCCTTCTGCCAGCTGCGGCGCCGACCCTTCGTGACAGCCATCCTGGGCTACCACGCCTGCAGTCCAAAATCCCTCTCCCCGCCGCCCTGCTCTTGCCGCCCCCTCCCTCCTCCCTTTCACGCACCTCGCCCGTCCCCGGCCCTCCCCCTCTCGCTCCTCCCCCCTCCCCTCCCCAGGCACGCGCGCGTCTTGAGCACGAGAATGAAGGGGCCCAAGGACACAAATAAATACACACAAATAAAAATATTCCCCACATTTTCCCATATTATCTGGGTTTTGTCTTCCCCCCACTTCCCATATTTTCCCATATTTTCTGGGGGATCGAGGATTAATTGTGTCTGTGTGTTTCCTTTCCTCCTGAGAGAAGCACGACGGGAGGCCTTGGGTCGGCTTCGGCCTGTGAGGACCCTCGCCGGGCCTCGGGCAGGTCAAGAGAAGCGCTCGGGATAAAGAGCCGACCCCTGGGAAAGGGTGGGAACCTGTGGTGGCCCCTCCTCCCCTCCTCTGAGATCCTGGTGATGCAACTTGTCCGCCCCTGGCGACTTTGCCTTCCTTCGGGCCCTGGGGCCCTGACGAACCGATCCGGCCCGAGACATACAGCAGAGAGATGGGGCCCAAAGCGTCGGCCGTTATGTACGCGACGTCGCAGTTTTCTAAAATCGTCGCACGCCCTGCATGCTCCCACGCCCTGCGTCGGCGGCGAGCGAAGGGGGGAAATGAGAACATATGGTCTTTTCAAAAGGTTCGGAAATCCCCCTGATGTCTTACAAGTTCCTACGCCTTCCTCGAAGACAAAACGAACAACTTATCAGAAGGCGCGAGGGCCGTCTGAGAAGTCCACCCACATTATGAAAAAGGCCTTTTCCTTCTCACTTCCCCCCTGGCTCGCAGCCGACTGCATCCTTTGCATCGGGGTCGGCCTAGAGGGGGGCGTCCAAGAGGGGGGGGCGCAGGCCAGTGCCAGCAGCATATGCGGTGCCAAGGGGGGGGGGGGGGGGGGGGGGGGCAGGGGCGCAAAAAATAAGAAGAGGCGCCACGAAGTCTGATATATCATGTTCCACGCCAGGCTATCCCCCCCTAGTCATCCCCCCCCCGTTTGCCGCCCCCGATTGTACCCTGCATGCGTCGATGTCTTACGCGATGCGGTCCCAAGGCCTGGCCATCCCACCCACCGTTGGTGTGCCTTCCGCCCGCCTCCGGCCAGCCTGCGCTCGCCTCGCATGGCCCTCTCAAACGCCCGCGCCGCTTGGCCCCCCCCCCCAGGTACGCCCCCATTCTCAAGGGGCACCCGTCCTGGGCACGGGTCGGCCGCTGATCGGGCGCCGCTGGCGGCGCGCCCAGCCTCTGGCCACTCCCCTGGGCGCGCCCGCTTTCTCAACGGGCCCCCAGGGTGTGCAACTCTGGGCGGCGCCCGCCTCGTCCGCGCCCTCCCCTTCCCCGCGGAGTCGCCGCAGCCGCTTGCTGGGTTCCCTCTTCTCCAGCGCGCGCCCCGCCAGAGGGGCCCAGCGCCGCGCCTCCGCCAGCTCTTCGCGTCGCCGTCGAGCTGCGGGGGGCGGTGGCCGCGGCGTCGGGCGGAGCCGTGCGGCCTGTTCTTGGCGCCGTGCCTGGGCGAAGCGACCCGCTGCCGTCGGCGGCCCCGCCTCCGCCCGCTGCTGCTCCAGCGACCGCGCTGCTCTCAGGAGGGCCGTCTGCGCGGCCCGCGTCGCGGCCTCCGTGGCCTCCGCGCCCGCTCGCGCCTCCTCCAGTGCCCCGCGGGCGTCCTCGGCGAGGCGCTGCGCCTGCGCCGGGCGTTCAGCTCTCGTCAGATCCTCGGCCTGCTTCGCGTGGAGGTCCGCGTGCGCCGCGGCCAGCTGCGCGCGGGCGCCCGCGGCGCTGCGCCGCGTGTCGGCCAGGCGCTCGGCCCTCGGCCCGCCGCGCGCGGGCGCCCCCCCGCCGCCGGCGGTCGGTGGCGCGCGGGCTCGGTGGGCCCGCGCCTTCGCCAGCGGCGCTGCTCGGCGCTGCCGCCCCGCGGCCAGCTGCTCGGCGGCCCGCTGCCTCGCCAGCTGGTCGCGCGTCGGCGCTTCGCCCGTGTCAAGCTTGGGCGCTCGCGCTGCGGCGCGTTCCGCTGTCGGGCCCGCGGCCTGCTGCTCGGCGGCCCGCAGGCGCTCCAGCTTGGCCTTGAAAGGCTGGCTCGGCGGGGCGGTCAGCAGGGCGGCGCGGTCGGCCTCCAGCGGCTGGAAGCTCTCGGCGGCGGCGTTGAGGGCGCTCGCCTGGGCCTCCGCCGCGCCCTGCTCCAGGTCCTCGCGGGGCGCAGCAGCGGCGGCCGCGCGCTCTGCCTCCGCCGGGCGCTCGACTTCGGCCAGGGCCAGGGCCTCGTTCAGGCTCGCGTCGCCCAGTGCCGCCTCTGCCCGTCGCGTGGCTGCGGCCTCGCGCTTGAGCTCGTCGAGGTCGGCATCTGCGGCCCGCGCCGTCTCCTCGCCCCCCTCGGCCTTGCGCTCGGCCTCTGCCTCAGTGGGCCGCAGCGCCTCTGCCGAGGCGGCTCCCAGGCGGGCACCCCCCCCCCCCCCCCCTCCCCCCTCGCCCTTCCATCCCTCCCTCGTCGCACCCCGTCGCTTCCTGTGCCGCCGCCCCCCCTCCCCCACCGCCCTCGCCGCATCGGACGCGGAAACAGAACCTGAGCAGGCTACACACGGGGCCTCCCTCATGAAGATTTAGCACTATTGCCAGTAGCCTGAGCTGCGCGGTCGGGTCCGAGCTTGAACTCGTGAGTCGCGCCCCAAAACAGAAAGCCCATTCGGGGCCCCGAGACGCTGGGGGGCAAGCGGATCCAAAAGGCCAGCGCGGGTAAGGCACTGCCCAGGCGAATCGTCGTCGCCTCCACTGCCGGCTCCGGTGGCCTCAGAGAACGAAGTGGCTAGTTATCGGCATCCACCACCCGCGCCTCAGTTGTTCTTGTTGGCCAGGAAGTCGGCGAACCTCTTGCGCTCGTTGCCGACGTGGCCCTCGCCCTCGGCCCACTGGTAGTCCGCGTTGTCTTCTCCTTTCTTCCCTCCTCCTCCCTTGCCCCCCGCCGAGTCGCCGTGCTGCCTCTGCAACCGAGCCAACTGCTGCCTTGCCTGGCTGAGCTCTTGCCGGCGTAGCGGAACAACTTCGCCGCCTCGCCCGCCCTCTGCTGGACGGCGTCGGCCGCCGCGCGCTGTTTGGCCAACGCTGGCCCCGAGGAACCCGGCAAAGGGCCGCAAGGCCGGCGGGCGGCGAAGGCCCGCTCGCAGACTTCATGCCTGCCTGCGCGGGCACAGCATCCACGCGCAAAAACGGCTGCCTCCAAGGTCATCTTGTCGATGACGAGGAAGGACGTCTGGATGTCTAAATCCATATCTGGCACGGCCGCCCTCTCGGCCAACTGCCTCCGGAACAAGTCGTCGCGCAAGATCGCCAGGGGCCGCCAGGGGCTGGCTGTGCTGGATGGTCCTGTCGCGCTCCACAAGCTACGCAAATTCGTCCTCGCAGCAGACTGCGGTCGCCCAGGTGAGCTATTCCATGGCTACCGCTGCCACGGCGCACCTGTCCAGCGCTGTTGCCCGCTGCGCGAGCCACCTGCAAGAAAAAGAAGAATTACCCTGTGACGTACCCAACCCATTTGTATCAATGGAAACGAGGAGTTGACCGAAACTTGTATTGACAATCGACTTGATGTGTAAGCTACTTGGGAGGCGTCGCTGTGCTGGGCCCCGCAAGCAAGCCTCGAAAGTGGCGACAGTTTCACATATCGCAGCCCCCCAGGGATGGCGAGGTCTACCTTGAAACTGCGGTAGGCACCCACTGTGCTGGGCCCCCCAGCAGGCCTCGAAAGTGGTGACAGTTTCACAGATCGCAGCCCCCCAGGGATGGCGAGGTGTAGTTTGAATCTGCGTGTGGGTACCCACTGTGCTGGGCCCCGCAAGCAGGCCTCGAAAGTGGCGACAATTTCGCAGATCGCAGCCCCCCAGGGATGGCGAGGTCCCATTTGAGTCCGCAGTGTGTGCCCACTGTGCTGGGCCCCCCAGCAGGCCTCGAAAGTGGCGACAGTTTCGCAGATCGCAGCCACCCAGGGACGGCGAGGTCTACCTTGAAACTGCGGTGGGTACCCACTGTGCTGGGCCCCGCAAGCAGGCCTCGAAAGTGGCGACAGTTTCACAGATCGCAGCCCCCCAGGATGGCGAAGTCTAATTTGAATCTGCGGTGGGTACCCA